GTCCCCTCTCCCCCCCGCCACCACGATTACTGGTCCCCAAAACTGGAAAAGTTGGGAACTGCTGATATAATCTATTTCATAGTCAGGGGAACTGGAATCTGTATAGCAAATACCTGTCTGAATCAAACGCAAAAAGTGGGCATATCTTTTCATGCTGCTGCCTTAATTTCCTTCTCCAGGTATGTGTTGTTTCCATTTTTTTTTTTTTTTTGGTTCACTTGATTCCCAGCCTGTTCTCAATAACTTTCTCTACACTGAATTTTATATTTTAGGCAGAGAGGCACTTATCTTTAGCTATTCTCCAAAGGTCTAAGCATACTGATGAAGCTATATAAAACCATCCACAAACACATAAATAAATATGAGCTTCAAAGCATGTGGCACCAGCCACACATTTTGCATTTCTAAAACTGGGAGAGTATATTTTTTGTTACATTGCTTCTCCCAAGGTTATTAAGTAATTTCATGATTATTGTAATTAATTCATACCTATATACCAGAACCTTGGCAGATACCTGGGCAAGTATATTAATAGGTGCATTTACAGTACATACTAATTCAAGAGAAAGCTGCATTATAACTTAATGTGATGCATCAATAATTGGTCTCTAAAAGCCTTGAGTTGTCTGAATGTGGCTTGCAATATTTAAACGCTTCCATATGATATCTGAGGTGGACATGGCAGCCATGGCTGTACTAATAGCCAAAAAGCATTTTTTAAATATTTTTTATTATGGACTAGACAACTCATGCGCCATTGAGATATTTCCTTCCTTCCACTTCGATCACATGACCACAGCAGCCAGTAGTACTGAAGCAGCCACAGTTTTCCTAAATTTCAATCCTTTGGAAATCCTGCATCCCAAATTTGGGACATACCTGTAAGTTAGACCATGAGGGTCACCTTAGTTCAAAAATTGTTTCCCTATGATGCACCATTTTGCACAGCTAAATGTCATGACAATGAGAGTTCGTTATATTAAACAAACAAGACCGATCCAAAAAAACCTAATGCAAAACGGAAAAGAAAATCAGGAAAACACCTTAAAAAAAAAAGATAGGGTGGAAAAGAAAGGAGAAGAAACTTCCCATTTCATCCCCAACATGTATATTCAACATTAACAACTTATCACTGTCTCTTAAAATATAATCAATCTTCTCTGCAATCTGTACTTTATTCCATTTTCTATAATCTCTTCCCTTCAGCTCTCCTTATTAATCAACCAATATTCAGTAAAAATTAACAAAAATACCTAATAAGATTTATTTATTTATTTATTTATTTATTTATTTATTTATTTATTTATTTATTTATCATATGGCATACAATGTAGAATAGAATAGAATAGAATAGAATAGAATAGAATAGAATAGAATAGAATAGAATAGAATAGAATAGAATAGAATTCTTTATTGGCCAAGTGTGAGTGGACACACAAGGAATTTGTCTTTGGTGCATATGCTCTCAGTGTACATAAAAGACAAGATACATCTGTCAAGAATCGTAAGGTACGACACATAATGATAGTCATAGGGTACAAATAAGCCACCAATGACAGGAAAATCTACAAATGCTAGACATAATGCAGTCCTGATGACTTAAATTATTAATTCATTCTGTTTGGTGCTTGCATGCCTATCCTTGGTGCACTGCAAGGGGGAACTAGCTTTACACTAACTGACTAGCAATGTTGGGGTTGCTGGTTCTTCTGGGTTCCTCCACCAGTCTTGCTTCACTTCCCGTTGTGTTGCATCGCCTCGCATCTGGCCAGGTCCAGCACCGGCTTCCACTCTTCACACACATAAACACAGCTAGTTTTTTCCCACCGAAGTGGTACCCATTTCTCTACTTGCATTATTGCATGCTTTCGAACTGATGGGTGGGAAGGAGCCAGGGAGTGAGCGGAAGGAACTCACTTTATATCACGTTGCTTGCTCAAACTGCGGAGTGCAGACCATTCTGTTGTGGTCTGCCTGCAGCCTGTGAAGCTGGCAGCAGAGTCGGACAGTGAGGAGGCTGGGGAGGAACATGGGCCAGTCCTGGAGGCTGGGGAACGCTCAGACAAGGGCTCTGCATTGGAGGCAGAGATGGGACCAGAGCCACTTGGGAGTTATATGCTGACTCTGAAGCCTCCAGAGTCTGATGTCAGCGAGGCAGAGGAACAGGGGGAGCCTGTTCCCAATGCATGCATGCGCAGAGCTGCCAGAAGGCAAGAACAGTTAAGACAAAAGGGGCGACTCGGGAGTAAGGCTTGGAGATGATTGGCCCCTCCCATAAAACATAAAGGAGGAGCAAAGGCACGTGAGCCTTTGCAGGAAGCAACTTTGTTCATGCTGGTTGGTTTAAATTCTGAAGCTCCATTTTTGACTCTGTGCTCCGTGTGTCCTTGCAAAGCTAATTGCCAATTAGGTCTTTAGCAGCATATCAAGGGTGATAAAGGTGGATGCTTATCAGCCTTATCCCAAAGGACTGTGGCAGACTTCTGTTGGAGACTTTACAAACTATTTGTGACTCATCACGGACTGTGAATGAACAGAATTCACAGCTGTTGAAATAAAAAGAGGGTTTTTGGGACTTATTGTGTGCTTTTTACTGTCTCAGGAAGCCTAGGGCAGAACACATTCCTGGCCAGCAGTTCCAGCATCATTAAGCCACTGCCCCATCAGTCCCCTACCTAATAACATAACCCCTTTTCATTTAGTCTAAGTTCCCGTCATTCTTTTCGTAACAATTACATGCAGAAAAGGAATTGAAAACTATTAAACTTATTTAAAACCAAGAAGCTTCTTGGATGAGAAGTGAAACATCTTCAAAGAAAAAACAGAAAGTCCAGTTGCCTCTTGAAAAAGCACATGACCTGGATGACTGAGAATCTCCATAGACATTTACCAGAAAAAATCGCTCTTATTTAAGTATCAAAAAAAATAATAATATAAATATTACGAAGTAATCCATTACATTAAATATTCCCAAAAGAAAAACTATCCAATTCAGATAACCATTTAGCATTTCCAGAAACAGAAACTCATAATCATGGCTGAAAGGAAGAAATAAAAAACTGAATAATCATATAAAGCAAAGTTTCCCTTCTTTCTTTTAGCCATTCTTAGGTCTCATAAATAAAATTCTAACTCATGTTTTCTTCTATTATTTTTCCTCTTTTCTCAAAATCATCTTCGTCCAAGTCCCTTTATAACTTCCACAAAGTAATTTCCAGTAAATCTGTTATATTTCAGTTGAAAAGGGTAGTCCATATCACTCATTTGATAGATTATTTGTATGGCCTTTTCAATTTTTAAATGATCATCTAATTGCATTTGTAAATGTAGTATTTCCTTCTCTTTCTTATGCTGTAATTTTTAAATCCACCTTAGAATTTTTTTCAGTTATCTCTAGAGGAATTTGTTCATTTCAATAGTAACTTTGGGTTGCAATAGATCAAACATTTCCTTCAAAGTAGCCATCTTGTGCTTTAGTAATTGATCTTCAAATCTTGTTTTGCAATTGATAGATAAATAAGATTTTTCCACACAAGAGAATTTTCTAATTAACTTCAAAGTCTTTGAAAAGTTTTCTTTAAGTCAATTTCATAAAGCTTTGCCATTCATAACATTTTGCAGAAACAATTCTGAACTCATCTCTTTGCTGTATATTACAAGAAATTGCAAAAAATAAAGATCTTACAAAGCTGGAAAAGTGTGATTTTCTTGCTTTTTAAACCAATTGAAGAGAATTCTACCCAGCAACTGGTAGATATGTGGTTCTGAAGATTTTTCAATCTTAAAGAAGCAATAAGAAAAAGTAAAACTCCAAAGTGATTTAAAAGATGAGGTTTGTGTCAAACCTTGAGTTCTTGAAAGACTATATTTACAGCTCATAGAATGATGAAAGATATGACCCTTAGTTGATTGCAAGCATCTCCAGAAACAATGATTTCTGCTGTCCACTTACAAAAATCAGCTCTCTGGATTACATATGGGTGATTTCCAGATCTATCTTTCTCCAGAGAATTTTAGCAATTCAGATATCATATACAATTGCGTTTGTGGCTGCAATGCTTTCACAAAAAATGTGGGCATTGAAAATATTCCTACCAGAATTCTCTGGAAATTCTGCTGGCATGAAGCAGGACTCCCATGGGCATCCTTTGTTGTGCATCTTAAGCTGAGTAAATCACAAATATGATTTATTTCATTTTATTTTATTAGATTTTTATCCTGCCTTTATTACCTTATAAGTCACCCAAGGCAGTGAATGTACATAATACCCTTTCCTCCTCCTGTTTTCCTATTTTGAAGCTGCTGCACCATCAGATGTGATAAGTACTATTCTACGGCAAAATCAAAAACTTATTCAAAAGAAGCTTTATGGAAGAACAAAGCTTACAAGATTTTACATCCAATCCTACCAAGATTTACCCGGAAAGGACCCAATGATTTCAAGAGGATATCTATTCCCATTAAATCTTGCTGAAGAATTATTAAAACGAATGCCCCCCAATTTAGTCTTGCAAGATTTCCATTTAATGAAATGTGATGGAGGGGGCCTCGATGGACCGTGACCTTATCTCGCTTACAATCTACTAGAACAAATGAGCCTCACAAGCAGTTTACATTAAACTATTTTTATTTACAGAAAATAAAACAAGGTCTATTCAAAAGGAATGTTAGATGTCATTCTCTTTCTTAAGTGTCCTGTCAGCTCTCTGGTGCAATCGCTCTATGCAATTGAAGTTCGGGCTTTTCTTCCTCAGAAGGAAGAGGCTTTAGTGACTTCAGCTCTGCCTCTGATCCCGAAGAGTCCAAAATGTCTGCTGGCAAGCATCTCCTTTTATACTGTCACAGTGGCAGTTAGGGGAGGCCATAAAAAAGCTTGGGAGATTCAAAGCCATGAGCTGCTCTCTGATTGGCTTATTTAATTGTCTAAGCCAAAAGCCATTAATAGGCACAGCAACTGTGAGGGAATTTTTCTCTCACATAAAACTACTTCCTTCACTGTCAGTTTCTCAAATGTTTGAACAAAGTATAGCTGCGATGTCACAAAATGGCCAGACATAGGTTAGAAAGGGAACATCTTTCATAAAACTATATGGGTTTTCCAGAGTAACTGTGGCATTTATCATTCCTTAAGTGCAGTGCTTCCCAAACGTTTTCCTTCATTTCCCAAAACTGCATTATAAAATAATTTTTTTAAAAAAAATTCTAACTAATGTAGGTAAAACACTTAAAGTCAATTTAAATGTCCCTGTTGTGATTGGGTAATGGGTTTGTGTGTCATTTTGTGTGTCACCCAAAGAAAAATTGCTTTTACCCAATTTTGGATAATTCCAGGTTGGGAAGCATTGCTTTAAGGCAATCATCTTCTTTAATGGCATTCCACTTACTTTTATTCTTGCAGGAGTGTGGTTGCCTACCGTGCACACTACTTAAAGTATTCTCCCCTCTCCCTGGCATGCCACCGCATTTGAAGATATATTTAGATATGTGCATTTGAGGACCCTCATACCCCCCTCCCAATTTCTATACAGTATTTCTTTGCAGCAAATTTTAAGTGAATCACTCCTGTTGGGACAAATAGGAGATATAAATCATTGTCACATCAGTCTCGCCTTCTGCCTATCTGGTGCCAAGAGAAAGACATTTTGGCTGCTTGCTGACTTCATCCTCTGCTTACCAAGCTACGTAAAAAAAAAAAAATGCAGCAAGTAAGCTAACTCTGTCCCTCAGAGTTCACAAGTAGGAGCCTTAGGGGACTGCTATAAAGATTTAATTCCTTTCTGTCCTACTCTGTCTAGATGATAATGAAGAGATTTATGCCAATGGAAAGGTTACATAATACAAGTGGTTCCCAACCTTTCCGGCATCATGGACCAATGGTGGTGAGGGGGGAAGAGGAAATTGTTCCATGTGAGTGGCAAGTATGGAGGCTAGCACATCCAGCTCCATTTGCATGAGTGGTGGGCACTTGTGTATGTGCCCGCCGCTGGCACAAATGAAGCTCCGCCCACGCATTTGCCTGCCCCTTGTGCAGCCCAGTTCTGAACAGGCCACGGCCCAGTACTGGGTCTCAGCCTGGGGGTTGGGGATCTCTGGCATAATAGACTGAACCATTTCTGTTTAATCACACAATTTAAAAAAACAATTAAAAAGCTTAGATACAGCTATGAGAAAATATTCTTTTTTTACTTTTATCAGCAGTTAATGACAGACAGTTCTCACAGTAAATGCTGATAGATCACAGGTAAGAATCAAATAAAGTAACACAGAGAGAAAGATGAAGAATATATACAGTTCCTATGTCTGACTCCTATATAATATAGCTGTGAAATAATTATTGATTGCTTATTTTCAATCGAGACGGGAACATAGAGCTGTATTATTATTATGTCTTAAAATTTAAACTGCTTAGAATATTTTTGGGGTGGGCAACTATAATAAACTTAATAAAGCAAAGCAAAACAAAACAAAGTAAAATAAAAGGTTTCTCTCTTTTTGAGAGGATCAATTTTCATCATCCCTGAACAGAGCAAACAGATCTTTTTGTACAGGAGCCAGCATTATGCAAGTGACTTTCCATGAGTTGTCCACATATCTATGGAAACAGAGAGCTGATTTTAGCCATCACCCATACAAAAACCTCACAACCCTTCACATTCTGCTCATGCATGAAATCAAATAGCTTGAAACCAAACAGCTTTAGCATTGTCCTTCCGTTTAATCCCAGAATTAAAAACGGTCATATTAGTTCAAGTGTTGCCCAAGTAACTTTCAAAAGCCAGAATTTCTTCAAAATCTATTTGTTCTTGTATTTGTGTTGATGCTTGGGTGCAAGTCTGCTAGGGCTAATCTGATTATGAACTTTGTTCTTGGCACATATGACATAGAATAATAGAGTTGGAAGCGACCTTGGAGGTCTTCTAGTACAATCCCCTGCTCAAGCAGGAGTCCATATACCATTTCAGACAAATAGTTGTCCAGTCTCTTTTTAAAAGCCTCCAGTGATGGAGCACCTACAACTTCTGAAGGCAAGATATTCCATTGGTTGATTGCTCTAACCATTAGGAATTTTCTCCTTAGTTCTAGGTTGCTTCTCTCCTTGGTTAGTTTCCATCCATTGTTTCTTATCTTGCCTTTTGGAAAATAGTTTGATCTTCTTGTCCTTGTAGGAACCTCTTAAATATTGGAACAGTGCTATCATGTCTCTCCCTAGTCCTTCTTTTCATTAGATTAGACATACCCAATTCCTATGACCAGAATAACCAATAAATATAATTAATAATGAATACATGTAAATAAATGTAACCAATACATACGTTTTTCTTTGAGAGTACATAAGGAACTCAGATTTCCTATGCAGCCTTAAGACTTTTTGCAAACATGCCCCAGCAATTGCTTTTTTTTTTTCCTGCTATGTTACCTTCCTACACTCCTTGGACCATGAGTGAGAGAAGTCTAAATCATCCTTAGCTCTATCCAAGTTGATATTGCCTCATTCCCACACAGTCAAAGGACAGATTTGTCAGGGTGGCAATTAATCCCATTCTGCTTTTGGGTAATCGCACCTTGATTTAGAGAAGTGAATCGAGGCTTTTCCCTTGAAGCATACTTTAAGAAAATAAACCCGAAGATATATTTTCTAAGAAAAACTCATTTATTTGTTATAAAGAAAATAAAACATCTCACTAGTTAATTAGTTACATCTTGGCAAAGCTTTCCCGGCCACCTCTCTTGGCCAGAGAACAAGAAAAGTTAGAAGAAAAGAGAAGGAATGTAGACATGTGCAGTTAGCTTACTGATAAGAACTTGGCAAGCTACGGTAAGTCTGAGAGTTCAAAAATAAGAGCTCATCTGATAAATACAAAAACGCAGTGACAAGACTCATGAGGTAAACCTCATAAGGTTTGTTAGGGTTTATGTTAAGGAATGGAGACATCAGATTTCATGCTAGTCAGAGGTGGGTTTCTGCAGGTTCTGACCAGTTCTGGAGAACCAGTAGCGGAAATTTTGAGTAGTTCGGAGAACCAGTAAATACCACCTCTGACTGGCCCCACCCCCAGCTATTCACTGCCTCTCGAGTCCCAGATGATCAGGAAGAAATGGGGATTTTGCAGTAACCTGCCCCTGGAGTGGGAAGGGAATGGAGATTTTACAGTATCCTTCCCCTGCCATGCCCACCAAGCCACGCCCACCAAGCCACAGCCACAGAACTGGTAGTAAACATTTTTGAAACCCACCACTGATGCTAGTGAACTTTACTGCTGATTCAAATATGTGCCCTGTGTCCTTCAGCTCAACAGTGATCTGTAATATTAAGGAAACGACTTCGAAAAATGATGCAAAGAGATGCTACCTAGGGAACAATCAGATAAGAAAGGGTACAGTCTGCAGCTGTGTGGTGGGCCGAGAGAGAGGCCCAGAAGGGACATTTCTTAATTTCTCAGTCAGTAAAGGAGATTGCAGGAGATTTGCACTTTCAAACATGCAAGATTCTGTTAACATAGCCTTACAATAAAGTAGAAGTACAAGAAGAACAACGATTTGTTTAGCCACCATTCCAAGTTTTGAAGGCACTGAAAAAAGCCCAGTCCTCTCACTAATGACTGGTCTTTGTTCTTACTACTGTTGCAGCAATTTGGGTGCTTAGTATCTATGTAGCATGTATTGATGGTAGTTGGGGTATCCCGGGATCATATGATCGCCATTTGCGACCTTCCCAGCTGGCTTCCAGCAAGCAAATCCAATGGGAAGAGCTGAATTTATTTAATGTCCATGTGATTCATTTAACAACTGTGATGATTTTGCTTAATGGCCACAACCAAAAAGGTCGCAAATGAGGTGCTCATTCAACTACCACCTCATCTAGAGATGAATGTTCCAGTTTCGATTGTGGTCGTAAATTGAGACCATCTGTAGGAGAAAAGGAGACGGGACAAATGGCAAACCACCTGTTACAACATTGTGGCACAATTTATGTGATTTACATAGATTGAAATCTATGTAGACCTGAAATATTGGGATTCAAATACAAAAGGCCAGGTTTGCGTTGTGATGTCACCCTTTGGTGGCAGATGCCTCGATTCACAAAGAAAGGGCTTTTGACATTTTCAATTTAGAATTTTTTTTTTGTCTGGTCTGCAAGAAAAAGAAGATTAATTAATGCAGTTAGACAATTCCTTCTCTTGTGACTTATAGCATCTTTATAACATCACCCAGCTATTGTTGAGGTGATATAAAGCCTGTTTCCATTACTGTGATATTGGCACAGTGATGGTTGGATGAGCTTAGAAAATGCTATGTTGCTAATGGGGAAATGATTTTGGTTTCTATGACAACAAGATCATCTGGCCATAATCACTTTTCAAAATTGTCTTAGCACAGCAGAAATTCATTCAGCCTGGGCCGGAGGCAAATCTTTCCTTCAAGAGAGGATTTTAGCTGAATGCTGGGGTAAAACTAAAAATAATCAGTTTGGTTAGTAGTAGCAGCAGCCAACTCTGAGTTTTGCTCTGGCACAACATTGTCCCTTAGATCAGCTAGTAAATTGTGTTGGTAGTGAACATATCTTTAGTTTCCCACAAGGTCCCTCCCACATAATCCTTGTTCACCTGATGGAAACAAGTAAGTGCCTTTATCATTCCCCCATAGGCAGTGGAGGGATTCAGCCAGTTCGCACCACTTCGGGAGAACCGGTTGTTACATTTCTGAGCAGTTTGGTGAACTGGTTGTTGGAAGAAATTATTAGGGCAGAGAACCGGTTGTTAAATTATTTCAATCCCACCACTGCCCATAGGCCATTAGGAAGCTGCATTCATCCATCATGTAATTTTCTGATTTTCTGGCTAAGCGTGTGACATCACACATAATATTTCATTTAATTGGAGAAAATCACAGCCAGTCCCCACTGATTTACACACAGAAACCCTCCTTACTCTAGGCAGTTTTTCAATACTCAACCAATGCACACCAATGAGAGAAGCTGGATTTCAATGGCTACATTTCAAGTTTTGTGAGCAGAAGCAAGGGGAAGAAGTCAGAAGGTTTTATTTCAGGAGAATGGGAGAGAAGAGAACTGGGGTCAGTGGTGGGTTTCAAATTTTTTTACTACCGGTTATGTGGGTGTGGCTTGGTGGGTGTGGCATGGCTTGGTGGGCGTGGCTTGGTGGGCATGGCAGGGGAAGTATACTGTAAAATCTCCATTCCCACCCTACTCCAGGGGAAGATTACTGCAAAATCCCCATTTCCTCCTGATCAGCTGGGACTCGGGAGGCAGAGAATAGATAGGGGTGGGGCCAGTCAGAATTTTTACTACCAGTTCTCCGAACTACTCAAAAGTTTTGCTACTGGTTCTCCAGAACTGGTCAGAATCTGCTGAATATCACCTCTGACTGGGTGATTATAAATGTGAATCACTGCATTGAACACACAACCAAACTGCTTTAGTTTGCTTCTAAGGAGCTTCTTCTAACAGCATGCAGTGTGTGGAATCTTCCCATTGTTACTCAACCCTCAGAGATCTGGGATAATAAAAAATAGGACTTCATAGCCCTTTCCCAAGACCATCCTAAATGTCAGCATCCATCCATCCATCCTTTTTCTGATTTTACTTATCATAACTCAAAAGTATATAATTAAATATTAAAATTAAATATGTAGAATATATTAAATACTTGAAAACAAATAAATGCAATTAAAACCTGTGGTAAAAGATCCGTGTTTAGGAACAATAAGCAACAAAGAACTTAGGCTCCTCAATTCAGCAAGCAGATCACATTCTTAAGAACTGGATCAATTATTCAGAAGCTGCAGTTGCCGTTACAGACTTAACACAATGCCATCTGAATTCAGCAAGAAGGATGGACCATATAGGAAAAGGAGAGCAATTCACACACCCTGGGCCCAAGACTATAAAAGCGGGGGTGAAATCCAGCAGGTTCTGACAGGTTCTGCAGAACAGGTAGCGGAAATTTTGAGCAGTTCGGAGAACTGACAAATACCACCTCTGGCTGGCCCTAGGGTGGGGTGGGAATGGAGATTTTGCAATATCCTTCCCCTGGAGTGGGGTGGGAATGGAGATTTTGCAATATCCTTCCCCCAGGAGTGGGGAGGGAATAGGGATTTTGCAGTATCTTTCCTCTGGAGTGGGGTGGGAATGGAGATTTTGCAGTATCGTTCCCCTGCCACGCCCACCAAACCACGCCCACCAAGCCACGCCCACAGAACCAGTAGTAAAAAAATTTGGATTTCGCCACTGTATGAAAGCATATATGGAAGCATACATGGAAAGCAGCAAGATCTGTTAAAATATGAATAGGAAGTCCTGGATTAAGGAGTGAAATGGGATCTTCAGTTCTGAGCATTCTGTTAGCAAATAAAAGTTCCTAAAATGCTTTCCTTGTATCTTCTCCAGACCATCTGGACTATGGAGAGAGGGCCAAAAGCACCCAGAACAAGCTGAAATTGCATCCAAATCACATCATGATGCTAATTCCATCTTTATGAATGGTGTCCTGAAATATGACGCAGATGAATTGATCATAGATTTTGAATCCTGATGTTTGTTTTGTCCCTTGCCCCCTACACACATGCCTATTTCAACACCCCCTTTCCTCCGCTGACCCCCCCCCTTTTCATTGCTCATATATAGCATCAGCAAAGAAGTGTATAGACAGCACACATTTAAGCTCAGCCAGCCTTTCTATCTCTATTTTGGATAATAGTCTCAGGACGGTAGTTTGAGTTTTCCTTCCATTTCTCACAAGGAAAAAAAAAATGTAAACCTCAAACTTCTATTTGAAATACTACAGCTGCAATAAAGAAATAGCAAGAGAAGCCATTGTTCAACTCTCATCCTGGCTACTGTGTTCTTATCTCATTTTATCCTTCTATGAGGCAGCTAAGCTCCTAGACTCAAAAGGCTGACAAGGAAGCATTTTCGAAAGGAGAGGAGACTCCAAATGCACATAATTGGGCAGTGAAAAGGCTACATTCCCCATATATTCATTCTGACACAAAATGATTCTGTGATCATTCAAAATTGCACTCCTCGGGAGCTGTTGCTCTTAAAGAAACATGATAACCGTGTTCCATCAATTGTATGCAATTTGTAGACTAAACCTGTAATGGTAAATAGATAAATCTGAATAGTCCTACTATATTGATCAGGCTTTGCATGGATAAAACCTAACTTTCAGAAAGACTTGTAATAAACAAATACATATATATATATATTATGCCATGGAAATGGTCAGGAGTTTGGTTAAATTAGTTAAAGTTGGATCTAAATTGTGTTCCCTATTCCACTGGTATTAGAATACAATGTCCTGCTTTCCTTCCTTGATGTGAGTATTATTCACATCCTGTTCTAGATGGTTTAAGGCAGGGATGTCAAACTAAATTTCTTCAAGGGCCAGATCAGCACTGTAGTTGTCCTCCGCGGGCCAGGTCAAAGGGGGCGTAGACAGGACGGACACCTCCTGCAGCACCCTACTGGCCAAAATGGGGCACGGGGAGGCTGCGTGAGGCCTCACTGGGCCCCGTTTTCAGCCTGGACAGCCTCCTGCAGCACTTTGCTGGCTAAAATAGGGTGTGGGAGGCCACATGAGACACCTCCACACCCCATTTTTGGCTTGGACAGCTTACTACAGCACTTTACCGTGAAAACATGTCGGGGGGGGCGTGTGAAGCCCCCCTCCGTGCAACATTTTGGGGCCTGGATGGCCTTCTGCAGCACTTTTCTGGCTAAAATGGGATGTGGGGGGGGCTCACACAGCCCCCCCACTCCCCATTTTGGCCAGCAGAGTGCTGCAGGGCATGGGGGGCACGCATGGCTCCCCCATGCCCCATTTTGACTGCGATAGGCACTATGGGCCGGTCCTTTGCTATTTCCAGACTGGCCCCATGAGCCAGATTTAAGCACCCCAGGGGCTGGATGCGGTCCGCAGGCCTTGAGTTTGACACCCTGGTTTAGGGAATTGTGTGGAAAGTGGCATCAGTGACTTCAGAGGAAGTGGAATTGAGACCACTCTGCTCTTTCTACAGTAAAACATCTTTACTGGATCCTTGTTGGCCAATTCGTGTGACTCTAACCTGTAAACCTGGTACTATTTCTTTCTCTCTCTTTTTTTAAAAGTTTTTTTTTAAACAGTAGTTAGAGAAGTATGCATAATGTGTCTTTTTTTCTCCTTGCATGTTCAGTATATTTAATATTCCAGAAGCAATTTGAATATATTTAATCATCTTCCTAGGAAGAACAGCATATTTTCTTTTTTAAGGATTAATTTTGAACTGGGAGTGGAGGTGGGAAAACTAAAATGGCTGTGTCTTGCAATTAGCATAATGTAAGTTTCGAATACCGAGTGCTGAATCTAAGTACGCATTAGGAGACAAATGTGTCTGGTAATCACAGCAATTTTGTAAAATCTCCCAATTTAGCATTTATCAAGCATTCCATCATTTTAATTCCATATTTGGTTCTTCATTTAGAACAGATTGAAATGAGCTGCCTGTTTTTGTTACCATCCTTATAATGAACCGCTCCCCATTCACCAGCAGATATAAAATGGCTTGTTAAGGCTGTAAGACTTCCTGGGACTTGCTGTTGTAATGACAACCGGTGTAGTTGTCATTAATGTTGTGAATGCCTTTCCTGTTCACCAGCTCCTGCCTACATATGTGATCATCTTGGAGCAGTTTTTTAAAACTCCTCCAAATTCCTGCAGTGAAAAAGGAGAGAAATTATGTACAACCCAGTTACAAGCAGAAAGTGTGTATGCGTGTGTGTGTATACATACTAGAAACAACATTAAAAAGTAATATAAAAAAGAAGCAGCTGGTCCTCAAGCCATTTACTCACTGAGAGATAAAGGTATAAAATACCGAGATGCTACAAAAATAGAAATATGAAAAGTCTAAGGTATTTTGTGTTTTGGCTTGCCATTTGCAGGGAATAGTGAAAAACTGCAGGATTTCTCTAACTTTACTATGTTAGCAACTAGTGTTCGGGATCACTAGGAGGGTGTCCCTTGACGCAGAATTGTCCCTCGGTGCATCATGTTACTGGTTCCTGTAGGATTTACTGGAAACATTTGGTCTGAACACAAAGCATGCGCTTGGGATATCTCTGCAATGGAACTCAAATCTACTTGGTACCCATAGCAACTGGAGCTGCTACAAATCCACATCCCAGCACAATCTTAGGCAGGAGAAGAAAACCAAGAGAGCTTGCTCCTACCAGCAAAGCTTATCCATGAAAATCATGCTAGATTCCTCGGATCTGCCTTCTGAGTCTCTAACCAATCTCTCCCAAGCTGGCTGAACAACCTGAGGAGATAGCTGGCTTGCCATGCTGCTAGTGGAGATTAGAAGGCATCAATTGGCTTCCCACCAGACAAATGACCATGAGGACTACTTGGCCAGTGAAAACAGGAGGCCAGGCCCTTGGGGAAGGGCAAGGATGGGGAAGGGGGACGAGACCATTTGAAGGAAGAAATTGTAACATTTTGGTAGAACCAGCATCTTCCTGATCTTACATGTCTTCACACAAAATTTGGCTCCATTAAATGTCATGGTGGACCACTTGTCCAGAAAACTGTACTCCATTCAGGATTCTGTGATTATGAGTCCTAACAAATTGAGCTACCGTGCTGTACCCTTAAGAGGAGAGAGCATTAGAACGTACAAAAATGTACAAAAATGTTTTCCCAAAAGCCAAGCAAATGATGACACAAGGGTGTATGTATTGCTCACTCAATACACACACCCACACAATAAAACAGGCATAGATGTTTTATTTATTTAACAGATGTCCCCATATGATATCAATGAAATTATATCCTACGTCATGAAATATGGTAGTGAACACCTGATAGGTCAAATAGGAGTATTTTTTATGCACCAATAGCAAAGCATGGAGCTTTGGGAAGTTAAATATCTCAGCCAATTCTTGCACAGAAAGAGTCACTGATCATGAATGTGGGTCACTACTCTCAATCTTTAGTCCACTTGGAGCAACTGCTTGAATTTTTATTTATTAATTCATTTACTGTATATATGTATATTCCACATTTATTATTTAAATAAATAACTCAAGGCTGTGAATATTCCTTCCTCTTATTTTCCTCAAAATGGCAACCACGTGAGGTGGATTGAGCTAAAACAGAGTGACTGGCTCAAAGCTAGGCATACATACATATATACTGTAATAAATATAATTTTTTAGAGAAGGACTATGATTTATAGAAATGCATCAGAGAAATTTATCATCTATCATCTTTCTCTCTATTTCTCTATCATCTTCATGTCTAAACAGGATTGGACTAGAAGACCTCCAAGGTCCCTTCCAACTCTGTTATTCTATTCTGTCTATCAATTTAATATTTAATTTAATTTAATATTTTATTTTTTATAAGTTTTTAATATGGTATAATTTTAAATATTTGTTTTTTGTGTTCTTTGGTTGTGTGCCATTCAGAGTCACATAGGCTATATAAACTTGATAAAATAAATAAATATTTACTGTATTTATTCAATGTTTGCTTTTGCAATCTTCCCAAGTTCAAGATTAGCCTGAGTGCCAGGGCAGGCATAGGCCTTGACATGTAAAGCAGTGATAGGTTGCTCCTGGTTTGGTCCGGTTCTATAGAACCGGTAGTAAAACCAGCGGGAGGCTACGCCCACCTGCCAAGATGTCATCATGGGTGATCTGCGCATGCGCAGAAGCACGTGTGTGTGTATGCTCCCGTTGCAAACCGGTAGTAAAGGTAAGTAGAACCCACTCCTGATATAAAGCCATCATAGCATATAAAATTGAGCAAAGACTTCACAGACATGTGACAAGGAATACAAAATCTTTCATTCCAATTTCTGAAATTGTGAAACATGATTAGAAGCAGAAGTTTGAATCCCCTAATCATTCTTGTTGCTCTTCTTTGCACCCTTTCCAAAACATACAAAGAAGAGTTACAGGAATTGGGTATGTCTACTCTAATGAAAAAAAGGATAAGGGGAGACATGATAGCACTGTTCCAATATTTAAGGGGCTCCTACAAAGGTGAGATGGTCAAATTATCTTCCAAAGCACCAAAAAACAAGGCGAGAAACAATGGATGGAAACTAACTAAGGAGAGTAGCGATCTAGAACTAAGGAGAAAATTTCTAACCGTTCGAGCAATCAACCAATGAAATATCTTGCCTTCAGAAGTTGTGGGTGCTCCATCATTGGAAAAAGAGACTGGACAACCATTTATTTGAAATGGTGTCTCCTGCTCAAGCAGGGGGTTGGAGTAGAACAGTGATGTCTAACCTTTTTGCCATCGTGTGCCAAAAGCACGGGGGGGTTGCGGGTACGTGTGCCCACATCCATAATTCAATGTGCCCCATCCTCCGCATGCACGTGACTCCCCCCCATGCTCCCCCCTGCTTTTGGCATGTGATGGCACCGTGGGCCCGGTAGGCCCGTTTTTCGCCCTCCCCAGGCTCCAGAGGCTTTCTAGGAGCCTGGGGAGGGCAAAAACAGCCTTCCCCATCCCCCCGGAGGCCCTCCAGAGGCCGGAAACAGCCAGTTTCCTGACTTCCGGTGGGACCAGAAGGCCTGAAAATCAGTTGGCTGGTGCACACATGCGTGCTGGAGCTGAGCTAGGGCAACACTGATGTGCCCACTAATATGGCTCCGCGTGCCACCTGTGGCACGTGTGCCATAGGTTCGCCATCACGGGACTAGAAGATCGCCAAGCTCCCTTTCAGCTCTATTATTCTATGTTCTATGAAGGACTATATTCTCTTATTTTAAATAAAAGGGGTTTTTATCATTACATTAGCATTTATTTCACAATGGTA